GGTGCATCTCCCTGGGTTTTAAACACCAGAGGCTCAGCCTCAAAACTCACATCTACATGTCACCACAGTAGGACAAACCAACAGACAAGTTTGTCTTGCTGTTGAGACCTCTCGTATACTGTGTGCTTAGTTGTGACCAAAAAGAGATAAATGAACAATATTCTCTCTAGGAAGAGCTCAAACATTCTAAAAGGGGTGTGGTAGTTAAGGTTGTGTGTCAACTTGGCTGGGTCTGGTTTTGAGTGTCTGGGCAGCTGGATGTAGTTATTCCCCATGATGAGACTGGTCATCAGCTCTATGGTACAATCTGCTGTGAATAGTTTTGTAGCTGCCTTAGGGATGGATGTTGACTGCTTCCACTATATAAGAAGTTTTGAGGATTGTCTGATATTTTGGGCATACTTGGATCCTGCATTTAGACGAGTCTTCATTCAGCAGCCTACCATATTGCCTGCCAATCCTGGGACTGTTTCTGGACTTGATCTAGTGGCCTGCCATATTGCTTGATAATCTTGAGACTGTGCCATTTACTTGTCAACCTTGGGTTTGTCAGCTTCAGCAGACAGCAGCCACCTGAGTTAAGTGAAGCCTCCAGCTTCAGTGGGCCAGGAGCCAAGAGGCAGCACTGAAGCCCAAGGTCAAGGGACTTTCACCCAGTCCCTAGAGCTGGTACTTTGAACTCAGATTTCTAGCCTCCTAAAGTGGGCTGTTGTATGTTAAAGCCACCTATTTGTGGTATATTTTCTGTTAGAGCAGTACCAGATAACCAAAATGGGGGGGGGCTGTAGTGGGGGGGCAAACAAGTAGATATGTATAAACTAGTAGATATGTATAAACTAGAGGCTAATATAAGCATGGTGTTTTGGTTCTCTAGTGCTGCTGTAACAGAAAATACCACAAGTGGATGGCTTTAACAAACAGTTTATTCTCTTATAATTTAAGAGGTTAGAAGTCCAATTTCAAAGTAACATCTGCAGGGGCTGGGTGAGGGCCACTAGACCTTGGGCTTTAGCTCTGCCTCTTGCTTCTGGCCGACTGAAGCTGGAGTCTTCTTTCTACTCAGATGGCTGCTGAGGCTGACAAACCAAGATTGACAAATAAAATGGTACAGTCCCAAAATTATCATACAACACAACAGACTACTGGTTGAAGTCCAGGAACAAACCTAAGATTCCAGACAACATGGAGGCTGCCGAATTTTAAAGACAGTTACATGCAGGGTCCAATGCAACACAATGCACTGCCATCGAGTCGTATCCGACTCATAGCAACCCTTCTCTGGGTTCCAGAGGCAGTATCACTACAGAAGTAGATTACCCAACCTTCCTTCTGAGGAGTGGAGGCTGGTGGGTTTGAACCGCCAGACTTCTGGTTAGCAGTCAAATGCCTTAGGCAGGGTCCAAGTGTGCCAAAAAAGCTCCAGAGATCTTTCTGGGCATCCCCACACTCCACACTCCTTATATACTGCAGACCACATCCCTAAGACAGCTACTCAGCTGCTCCAGTAGATTTCACTATGGAGTTGATTACCAGTCTCTTCATGGGGAATAACTACATCTAGCTGCCCAGCCACTAAAAAGCAGGTGCAGCCATGTTGGCATACAACTTAACTACCACACATGTGCAAGAAGACACAGGGGTAGTGTTGGTACATAAATAGATTGAATGAGTATGTCATGGAAACTTTATTTTGTTGCAAGTGAGAGGCCTGAACCAGAATCCTGGAGATGTGAAGAAGGGACTAAGTGAAAAGCTATTTAGGAGGCACAACCTTTAGGACTTAGTGACTTACTGGATGGATATCTAGAGCAAGGCAGAGTGAAGAACTGGGAAAGAGAATAGTATGAATACTGGAGACAGAATATATTTTTATATGAGTTAGTACTATCAGTGAATACTTGCTGATCTAAAAGAAAAGTGACCTTACTCAAAAGTGAAAATAATTATAACACAGCATTAGGAGACTTCAGCTTCATTAATCAAAATAACAGCAGTAAAAATTGCCATCTGAAGTTTAATTCTGGTTAAATGCAGCTGGGATTTATTAGAAGGAAGGAAAGGCATGAAGGAAAGGTCTTATTGCTGTCTTAATATTATTGTTTACAGTATTAAAAATTAAACTCTTTTCCTTACAATCTGTGTGTTCACAATATGGAACCTAAGTTATTGCTTCTTAATGGAGCTGCTGAAGAATTCTTACATTTTGTAATAGCTTGGTTAAGCCTACATTTAAAGCCTCATTTACCCTTGAATATTTGCGAACTAAATTTATCTGTTTTTCTCTCCATAGACCATTTCAAATAGTACAATCCCGGAAAATGCGACAAGCGGTGGGAGGTTCAAACTTGACATTCTGAAAAATAAGGCTAAGAGATCCTTAACTAGTTCTCTGGAAAATATCTTCTCAAGGGTAAGATAGTAATCTCTATGTTTTCTAACTACTTTGTTTCATTCTTAACTGGCTTTTAGAAGATTTCCTTGAAAAAACAAATAAACAAATGCCTTAGGCACTATGCCACCAGAGCTCCTTAAATAAAACTAAGATAACATTAATTTAGTTAATACTTACTGAAATTAATCATTAAAAATAATGTTCATTCTCAGACCTATATTTATTCTGTTCCTCTGATACCTGAATTTGAGAAATAGAGATTTAGTAGTAAAGATACATGTAAAGGAAATAGAATATTGATGCCCAATACCATAAGATCTTTCTGTCATTTGCAATATTGCATAAAGTTATAAAGAAGCCCCTCTTTTGCCCATTCTTAGGGACTGATAAGAAATGCTGAAAATAATAGAGATAAATGAACAGAAGTTTATTTGTTGTATTTAGAAAACTAATTCCATTTCAAAAATGAGCAAATTGGTTGCCCTTCCCCCGAGCAATTCATTCCTAAAGCTGTTAGGTGTAATCAAGTAAGTTACATATTGGGGTTGGGAGGCCAGGGAGCCACGATGACTCTGAGAAGAGAGAGCACACTGTACGGAGTGTGGAGTGTGGGGATGCCCAGAGTATGGTCAGGATGTGTCTGCAAAGGAAGGCACCATAGCTCAGGAAGTTGGAGCTGTAGTAGGTAAGGAGGGTATCCTTATAGAGACTGGTCCAGCATGAGGTGCCAGAGCCGGAATTAAGTACGAAAGGTGTTCCTGTAGCAGAGTGCCCAGTAAGAGGAGTTGGAGTCTGAGCCGGGTGAGGATGGTTTCCATGTGTGGGAGTGGCAGCCTGAGTTGGGAGAGGGGCTGTCTGTGTAGTGGTAGTTATGGAGACTGGGTACATATAGGGGACAGATAACATAAGCAAATATGTTACAGATAATGGGGTCCAGAGATAAGGGAATTTTAAATATAAAAAGGGAGGAAATTAGAATTAACTCTGTCCTGTTGGATTTGACTTAGAGGTATCAATATGAACTCATGGCTTTCAATGTATATATATTTAGAAGTAAATATAGATACAAATATGTCCATGGTCCCTAATTCTATGTTGAGGACCAGGGATCAGCTTTCTTATTATTGTTGTTGGGTGCAGTTGAGTGGATTTCAATTCATAGTGACCCCATGTGACAGACTAGAACTGCCCTGTAGGATTTTCTTAGCTGTAATCTTCCTCGACGGCACATAACAACAACAACAACAACAATCTTCAAGGAAGCACTCTGCCAGGTCTTTCTCCCATTAAGCCTCTGATTGGGGTCAAACTGCCAACTTTTCAGTTAGCAGCTGGGCATTTAACCTTTTGTGCCACCAGGGCTCCTTAGCTTTCTTGTGCACCCCACAGAATAAGCCTGGTTGGTTGACGTCTACTACCCACATTTTGGTTTCTCTGTATTATTCTCCACTAAGAGAAACAAGGGCTCCTGGGAGAAATGTCTGAGTCCAGGAATGCTGGGGGAGTATAAGATGGGCCTGGAATATGTTGGTGCTCTAGATAGTGAGGATGTACCCAAAGAAAGATGGAGATATATCATAAAGCTGCAAAGACCTTGAAAAGGCTGATACTTGGTATATCTGAGACAATATGAGCATCGAAATAAATGATGATAACAGATGAATAAAATAGGAAATAATGAGTCTATTGTGACATTAAAAATAATTAATAGTAAATGAATACATTGAAATTTTGATATGAATAGAGTATTTACTGAACATAACTAATACTTAGTAGTTACATGAGTTAGAGGGACTTCTTCATTTTAAAAAAGGAGAGTAAGAGCAGTTATAAATTAGTGATTATGTATTATCAGATAAATCCCTGTTTGGATTTAAAGGGGAAGGTATCTTATAAATTGAGTTCTTATTTTTGTAACGGAGAGAGGGTATTTTTTTTCTTCACTTTTTAACAGAGAAAAGAACAGGTGGCTACCTAAAGCAACTGGATCCAAAGTTCATGAGCTGGGGAAAGGAAAGGTTCATTTATATAGGCCTTTTGTGAAGACCAGGCTATACCCTAAGTTAGTATAACTCTTAGAAAATATTGAGATGATAGGCCTAGAGAAACTGAGTGTTAGGTTTTTGAGGATGTACTATAAATCAGGGTATTTCTGTTTATTTTAAACTTGTTTTTTTAATGTATCTGAAGTGAATTTCATAGACAAATCATGACAATTAGCAAGTAAAACATTTCCCCTGTTACTTTAACAAAGAACTTATTTCATGGATATAAACAATTAAATGAATCTAATCTCCCCCTCTACTCTGCTCAGTCTTGCTGTACAACGGTATCATTAATGGAGCTCTTAGAATATATAGATCCCTGAGCCCAACACCTCTGGATCAAAATAGCTTTGATATGGGCTTGGGTCTGCATAGTTTAGAAGCACTACAGGTGATTCAATATACAGCCTCAATGATGCATTTTAACTCACTATTTGTGATGATTTGTGCTTTGGATGGCCTTTTGTTCTTAAAGTGTCTTCCTTAACCAGTAATGTCAGTAGCACCTGCTAACTTGTTAGGAATACACGTTCTCAGGCCCTACCCCAGGTGTCCTGAATCAGAAACTCTGGGGGTAGGGTCCAGCAATTTATATTTCAGCAATGCCTTCAGGTGATTCTTATGTGTACATTAAGGTTTGAGTCCTAGTCTTGTCATTAAGGAGCTCTGGTGGTGTAGTGCCTAGAGCATTTGACTGCTAACCAGAAGGCTAGCGGCTCAAACCCACCTTCCACTGTATGGAAAGAAGACTGGTCAATCCATTTCCATAAAGATTTACTGCCTCAGAAACCCAAAGGGGTTCACTATGAGTCAGAATCAACTTGATGGCTGTGAGTTTGATTTTTTTTTTTTTTTTGGTACTCTTATTATTAGCTGCCTTTGAGTCCTCCCCTGCCCTCAATGGTGACCTCATGTACAAAGGATCAAAATGCCTTCATTGCTTACAGATTGGAATGTTGTGATCCATAGGGATTTCCTTGGCTGACCTTTGGAAGTAGATTTCCAGGACATTTTTAATGTAGAAGTTCCACTGAAACTGTTCAACATCATAGCAACACACAGACCTCTACTGACAAATAGGTGTTAGCTGTGCATGAGGTGTTCATAAAGTACTAACATCATAAACACATAACTGCATCCATTAGTGTCAGCTACTGGAACACATGATGTTTCACGAGAACTCTAGTAGAAAGACCATTTAAGAAGGTGATGCAGGGATTGGAATCCAAGACCTGTCCCCAGAAGATTTTGCATTTATGATCTCGGGTAAATTATTTACCTTTTCTAAACCACAGTTTGCCCATTTCTGCAGTGGCATACAAATGCCTGCTTAGTTTGCATTACTGTGAAGATTAAATGTCAGTATCTTAGGAAAATATCACACTATAGATGTGAGGTGGTATGTACAATGGTTTATGCATTGAGTTGTGTCCCCTCCAAAATATATGTTGTAAATTCTAACACCTACCCCTATGGATATAGTACCACTTAGGAATAGTGTTTTCTTTATTATGTTAATGAGACCCTATCACTGTAGACTATATGTTAAGCCAATTGTTTTTGAGATATAAGAAGAATAGTTTAGGCACAGAAGCAAAGACAAATGGGGGAAGACTGATGCCACTTGAAGATCACCAAGGAATGGAGGAACAGAAGAGTCAGCAGAGAGAGAAAGTCTTCTTAGGGAGCTGGTGTCCTGAATCAGATTTCTAGCCTTTTAAACTGTAAGAAAATAAATTTCTGTTCATTCAGGTCACCCATTTGTGGTATTTCTGTTATAGCAGCACTAAGGAATTAAGACAAGTGGTGAGCTCTGAAACTTCTGCATTTACAAGATAAAACTCTTGACAAAAGAGTATTTAGAATGTGACTCTTTTGTGCTCTATGTCATATCTTGGCATCTTTCACAATGCTTGTGTGGCTTGCTTTGAAGTGTCTCCAAAGCATGCCTTGAATTGCTGGAATGGCTTTTTTTGGCAAGGGCACACACAGCCAATCTATTTTGGTCAAGGTGGATACTATAGCTTCTGTGTCCTAGTGTGCTGCCAAGTACCATCAATTATGTGACCTACCAAGGTCTTCCACCACTTGTCTGTCAGTTTGTTGTACTGTGATGGCTTTTGTGTTGCTGTGATTTCAAATACAAGCAAGGTCACTCATGGTGGACAGATTTCAGCAGAGCTTCCAGACTGAGGCAGACAAAGTACAAGGACCTGACGATCTCCTTTTTTTTTTTTTTAAAAGGCAGTGAATATCTTATGGCTAGCAGCAGAATACTGTGTCACATAGTGCCAGAAGATGAGCCCTCAAGCTGTAAGTCATTCAAAAAAATGACTGGGGAAGAGCTGTGTCCTCAGAGTGGAGTTGATCTTAATGACATGGATAGAGTAAAGCTTTCAGGACCTTCTTTTGCTGATGTGGCATGACACAACATGAGAACAAACAGCTGCAAACATGCACTAATAATTGGAACATGGAATATATGAAGTTTGAACCAAGGAAAATTGGAAGATGTAAAAAATGAAATAAAACACTTGAAGATTAATATCCTAGGCATTAGTGAACTGAAATGGACTGATATTGGCCATTTTTAATTGGACAATCATATGGTCTACTATGCTGGATTGTATGAAGAAAAACGTGGTATCAGGATTGGAGGAAGAATCATTAACAACCTGAGATATGCAGACGATACAACTTTGCTTGCTGAAAGTGAGGATGACTTAAGGCACCTACTGATGAAGGTTGAAGAATACAGTCTGCAGTATGGATTACATCTCAACATAAAGAAAACAAAAATCCTCACGACTGGACCAATGAGCAGCATCACAATAAATGGAGAGAAGCTTGAGGTTGTCAAGGAATTCACGTTGCTTGGTTCTACAATTGATGCCAATGGAAGCAGCAGTCAGGACATTAGACGACGTGTAGCATTGGGAAAGTCAACTGTGAAGGAACTGTTTCAAGTGCTGA